TGGTGGTGGGGGAGGGCAGGGGTGGTGAGCAGGATATTTCCTGCTTAGGAACATTAAAAACAATAAGATAATTCCTCCACATGGAATTGGAGGTTCAGGTCATCCCTGAGAGACCCTAGGCAGCAAGTTTGTTTGGAACACAGAAAAATAAAATGACATCAGGCGAGAGTTGAATAGACCATCGATTCTCTAAACCTTGGCTCACAAACCTCCTCCCAGGAGGAATATGATGGCCCCCATATTCCAATGACTGAGACAAATTACTACAGGGAAAAAAAGTCAAAGGCTGAACTTGTCCCAAAGGAAAAAAGATAATTTAAAGAGGGGAGTGACTGGAGGGAGAGAGAAGTTTTATCTCTAAAACAGAACATGGAGGAAATTTTGGAAGGAAGGGTTACAGAGTTTTTTTTTTTAAACTCTTTGGCCCTAAGGCAGGCTATATGGACAGCTTTATCATGGAGCAGTATTCCTGCTGATACTTTTCTATGCTAAATACATTTTTACCAACCTACCAGAAGTGTCCCTTAAAGAAACAGAGTAGCTCCCTGTCTTCTATGGCAATAAAAATAACCCCTGAAGCATCCATTCTTCCCAGTGTCTGATAGTTATTTATGCAGGGGAGTTTATTAAGTTCAGGCTCTGGGAAGGAACTGTAAGTAGTTTGCATTCTGGTGCGAAGAATGGACAGCCAAGAGAATGTATAATATCATGTTAAGTAGCTCAGAGGACACTAGAAAGAAAATTGAATGGGATAAAAGAGAAGTGTGGAGGAGAGTGCTTGTTTTAGGGAAAGCAAGGAAGAAAATCTGCTATGAAGTGACATTTGAGAAGAGACATAAATGAAGTAGGACTGGCAGAAGTGTTCCTAACACAGGGCAATCTTCACACGAGAGGGCCCAGTTTGAATGGCACCCACAGGCTCCCCTGCAGGGAGATGCTGTGCTCCAGGGACTGGAACCATTGTCTGAGGACAGACTAAGGAGGCTATGAAAAGGTCGAGCGGCATAAATTGTAAAATGAAAGGTAAACGATACTGGAGATAAATATTTTCTAAATCACTTATTTTAATCACCATGAAAAAACCCTACAAACCCCAAATAGTAAGCAAGTGCCATTCCTGCATGTAGACACACACTGGCTGTCTCCTACCTGTGTCTGGGACATGACAGCACATTGGTTACAGGATGAGCTTGGGACCCACTGGACTTGGCTTGTGGCCCCAGGCTCTACCACTAACAACTTCCCTTTCTTTTACCCTTTCCAGCTTAATTTTCTCCTCTGTGAACCTGATCTCTCCACATGGAATTCTGAGGATAAAAATGAGAGGCCATCTTTGATGCACAAGGTGCTGTGCTGGGCACTCTCTGTAATGCCACGAGTATTAAATTTATGGCATATTAATAGAAAAATAAATATATTCCATGTCTGACATGAAATAAAATGGACAAGGTGCTATTAACCAAATTGTATTATTTCATAATAAGGCTTTATAATAATCATTCATTTCAAATGATTCTGTTTCTCCTATAGAGGAGCTGCTTCTTGTAGTAAACTTGATATTTTGGATGCCTCATTTGGTAATAAGGTACAAGGCCATCAATGGCCTAAATCTTTTGAGGCATGAATGGAATACCAAACTTCACAACCTCACTAAGTGTAGTGGCAGGAAACCAAGAGATAGAAACCAGAGACTTGGCTATGTTTTGAAACGCAGGGCAAAGTTTTCCTGTCTGCACACCATGAAAGGGCCTTCTGTCAAGGACAAGTAAAATTTATCTAACAAAAGTGCTTTCCCAGAAGCAGAGGGATCTGTCCTTGCTCCTGGATTCTTTGTGTCAGCCTCAGTCCAAATCACAAAGGTACTCTATGAGTGAAGAATGACAACTGCGCTTTTCTGGAGAAACAGCAAATGACAAAAGGAAATGGATGGCCCGAGAAGAGAACTCCAGCACAAGGGGAGACACTATGTGCCTGTGACTCTCAATCACAGATGCCACTAGCAGGACACAGGCATCTCTGGGAGGACTGTGGGCATCTGGTTTAAAAAGTCCAAAAGGGAAAGGTCCAGCACAACTCAGGTCGATTTGTCATTCTGACATCGAGAGAGAAAGAGGGTCAGCTGGACCACAAAAAGGCTGATGTTCCCAATTCGACTCGCATTCGAACTGTTAACATGTTCACAAAGTGTCTTTCTTTATGGGGCGGGTAGAACACATCACAGTAATTTGGGAAATGGGAAAATGGAGGTGTAGGAAGCACTTCTGTTAACAACACCAAGAAAAAGACCAGCCGAGTTTCCTAGGCTGCGGCGCTGCCATAATTTAGGGAACAATGGCAGCAGCTACTACCAAGCGCCCCTCTGCCAGGACTGTGCAAGTGTCTTACAACTCAGAGTCATCAAACACTGTGAGGCTGTGCTGGTGCCACCACCATTTCACAGATGGGAAGCCAACTCCTGCAAAGGAGTTCAAAATTAGGATCCACATTAAAGATTTGGGCACCCCCAAATCAGATTTTTCTTGAGCATCCTCAGTCTGAAGTGAGAGATGAGGCTAATTTGAAAGTTACATTTTCTCTCCCACTGAGGATAGTTTGGTGCTCCAGGCAAAAGAAGAAAATCTGAGCACTAGAGAGAAAAATGAAAACTACTAAGTTATTCGGTAGATATAAGCATAAGTTCATTATGTAAAGTGAGTCAATAAAGTTTTGATACCAGAAATAGCAATCAGGGCAAAACAGAGGACCTGAATCAGGCTATGAAGTCAGAGTAGCTGTCTTTCCTCTCATGCCCCTTCCCTAATCATAGAAAGGATCAATCTGTCATCCCAGGGAGAATTGTAAAAGACCACCCTGTCCTATGGCTCCTAGCAGATGTCACACAACTGCAGAAAATAGCAATGGAGGTCCTGGGAATGTCAAGTCCAGGGAGTAAATCTCATGGCAGCTGTCTTGAGTCTGTCTGTCCACATTGTGTTCTCCCATTCAGGGACCCGGCAACCCTTCCTTCTTTAATATATTTCCCATTGATTTTAAGGATTTTCTTGTAAGGGAGGAATTTGTGGACCAAAACAAAACCTCTCTCTGCAGTCACTCATAGCAGATCATTGGGCCAATGGGCACATTTACTCTCAGACAATGACAAGTTTGCCTTAAGACGCCTTCAGACACAAAAGTCACAAGAAGAGAACTTTTCTCATTTGAGGGACTTTTCATCAAGGTTTTCACCATTCAGACTGACTGAAAAGAGGACCCTGAACATGCCTTCTAAGAGATAAGGTCTTTATATTTCAAAGTAAAAGGTATATTCTTAGATGATAGCATTTCCATAATGAAATTAAAATATCATGGAACATCACTTTCCCATTAAGAAAGCCATGAAACATCAAGACCTGCTCATCTCTGTAATTTTTCCTTTCATGTTTTACAATGTACCATGGAGCTATGCTTATTCATGAGTGCCAGAGGTGCTTAAAGGCGGGCTCCTGTATATGTCATTTAACCCAGTTATTATAGAAGAGTTAGAGAAAGATGGGGATGGACGGGATGTAATTATGAGTAGGCTGTTTTTATTTAAATCTGAAAAATGTAACTGGAAAAGGTAGTTAAAAAGTAGGCAAAAACGGCCCTCCCTGGTGGCGCAGTGGGTTAAAACACTGCACTGAGAAGCTAAAACCACTTCCGCATGAGTTCAATTCCTGCCTGCCCCAGAGGTGACCACATGGCGTGGCAGACCTCTGCTGACCCGCCCGCTGCTCCCCTCAGCAGTGTACTTTGTAGATCTGCCTGTTCTGCTCCCCACTCTGTCTCTGGTGAAGCCTCTCACTGCCTCTGAACCTCTGGCCTATACCCCAGTTCTGTATGTACAAATAAATAAATCTTTAAAAAAAAAAGTAGGCAAAAAGTCTAACAAAATCTTACTATAAACAGGAATCAAGAGGAACCCAATGGACATGGATGAAAAATTCCATGAAGGTGTTAGGATCCTATTACTAACTAGACTTTTGCTTTGGGGGGGTGGGGGGAAGTTTGTGAGGGTATTAGCAAAGTGACCCAAACCTGTGCGAATCTATAAGATCTAAAAAACAGGTCTTGGCTATAAGCTAAAAAGGTATCAACCTAGTAGCAACCTAGTTCCACTTTAGAAAGACAAATCCTATAAAAACACAATCAAGAAATCATCGAAGTGCAACGGAGTTTGAAACTAGGATTCGCAGTAAAGATCTGGACACCCCAAAAGTCAGATCTTTCTTGAGTATCATCAATGAGTCTGACACTATGCAAAGTATCTTTTATTTACTTCCTCACTGAAGTAATACTGAAAAGTCCTGATTTTCAGGTAAGGCTATTATCCAAAGTTACCCAGGCAGTTCAATAGCAAAAAAAAAGTCCAAGCAGGTTGTTCCTACAACCTGAACTTTTAAACTATAATGCTGTCTGCAGAGCAAGCAGGGCATGCTGGGAAACTTATCACCTGGGGCTTCTGAGTTTCTCTTTCAGGCAAGTTGTACTGCCGCCTTAGAAAGGCAACTTTTGTGTAGAATTAGCTTGTGTTAAGTATAGTCTAAGTGGAATTCTGTCTCCTTAAAATTTTGCTTTCCATACTGCAATAACTGTACCAGGAAACCAAACCAATGAAGATAATATGGGGACAGAGTGGTTGGGTACTATTATGAGTCCGACATAAATTCTAGTGTCTTTTCTGCTATAATTCACAAGTTGAACATGAAGCATCCATTGTCATCAATAAAACTGACCCTTAATCATGTCCTGGACCACATTAAATGCTGGGCGAGAATGACCAGGACAAGCTTTTTCAGTGAATTGGTAACCAAGTGGTGACATATAAATGTATAACATGTGTGGGTTGAGAAATCAGCTAATCTGATTTTTATTTCCATATATTCCTTGTGCATATAATTTAGATATTCATAGTTTTTCTTTTGTATTTCAGAGTGAAAGACAGATAAATCAATCATGACAGGCAGGTAAGGATTACGTACTATTTTCTTATCGTAGGACTCTCCACTGCTGTAGGTCGTGGCCAGAGTGGAAGAACATTCTTCCAGGTACCAAGGCTTCTTTCCACTTTCAGCTGTGCTGCTGATGGAGATGGTATAGATGCTGTTGGTGTAGCCATCACAGGAGCAGTGGTCTTTGCTCCTTCCACCATTGCCTGATGCCCAGACGAAAACAGAGCCGAGGCCTCTCCGCCCCTGTTCATAAACATAAGTAGTTAAATGAGGGAAGACAAGATTATGAAGCTAGATGAAGTGACAATCAAAACCGACAGAATAGCACCAAATATTTACCGGAAGGATGTGATGCTGAATTGAAGCTGTTTTTTTGAGATAAGAGGAGTTACCATTAAAAACTTAACAACCACAACAACAAAAATCCACTAAAATAATCCCTTTTTCAGAATAAAGTAACAAACACATCACTAAAGAGGATACTAATGACTAACTTTTATTAGGTACCTACCATGGACTGAGCAATTCTAAATGTTTTATAAGATATAAACAATGTATTGATTTTTTTTTAAATAAGATTTATATGTGCATTTAAGAACTGGGGTACAGGCCAGAAGTGTGGAGGGTGAGAAGATTCATGAGACAGAGTGGGGAACAAACAGGCAGATATACTGAAAAACCCTGCTGAGGGGAACAGTGGGCTCTGTATTGATATTTTTAACACTGTGCAACTGGTACAATTTCTGTCCTCATTGTATTGAAGAATGAGAGATTAGTTAAGTAATGTTTGTAAGATCCATAGTAAATTCTAGGACCAAAATTTGAATCAGAGTGCACTTGGATTATTAGTTGTCAGTCACCATATGATACGGTATTAAATCTTTATCCACATGAAGTGGTGCTCTTAGCATTCTCATTTGAGGTATGAGGAAGATGAAGTGTAAAGAAGATTATGTACTTATCTTTCTTCTAGATTTGCGCCTCCCTCTGCAGGGCACTGACACATATTATGGGGTTGTTAATGGGATCTAACAAAAATACAAGGATTTCAAGATCAAGTGTGTTTGGAAAACTGGGTTACACATAATTGGTCCTTCCCCTACTGAAGAACTGCTGAGTATTTAATAAGTGATCTTTTTTTAGCCAAGTCTTCGATGTCATCAATGAAGCCTGGCATTGAGCTCTAACACCACATCAATCTCTAAGTTCTTTCCAGACTTAGTGGTAGAATTCGAACTGAGAAAGAAAGGAGGCATTCCTGGTCCTGTGTCAAAGGAAGGACATATATTTTGACCCAAGATCTCCCTGGAAGTCCAACTGAGAGAGAGAGGCTTCCTCAGAGGTGGGCACCTGTAGGTGTGCTCTGACAGCATCCACTCTGGAGGAACAATGACACTACTACTGGTCTCCTATGGAGGTTCTCTGAGTTGCAAGAACAGTTAGTTGAGAGGACTGTGGGACAGAATTGTCTTGGCCATGTCCCTTCCAGACAAAGGAACTTCTAAACATATTTTACTTTAGAGAACTTTTGCAATCAGGTCTATTACCTGTTTCATACAAGGTTAGGAGATGAAGTCAACTCTGAGTGGCAAATCTTGACAAAAATGCAGATTTTCCGAAGGTCATGAAATAACGAAGTAGAATAAATCATAGATGTATTCAAACATAATGTCTATTTGGTAAGATGCGCTCTTCAGTAGAAGACAGATAGAAGCCAAAGTGAAGAGTAGTCCTGGGAATATATATAACTGAGGAATTTTATTATTTTAAAATCACAAGGTAGATTACAAGACAAGTCCAAATCTATCACTTAAAAATAAAGTCAGAACCAAAGATACATAGCTATTGATGACTGAGCCTCTTTCTTTCTCCCAGTTCCTTACTTTCTGGTCTCAGGTGGTGGGTAAAGTATTTGGGACACTGTCTTAGAATTGCTAGAAAAAGAGCCAAGGCAAGAGGCCTGAAAAAGAATCTGGAATATCTGTGATAAACTTTCTCTGACCTCAAATCCTCAATGAAGAGTATTTATGACATGATTTGTCAGACCTGAGCATAGAGTTTTTTTATCCTTCAGTGTGGAAAAATTCAATATAATTATACACACACAAATGGGAAAAATTCAGGAAATGAGACAGGACAAACTTCTGGATGCTTACACCACTAGACAGCTGGGCCTGGTTTACCATCCCTGTTTCCATCAAAACATCCATGAAACATAGAAGATGCAAAAAATTACCATGTCATCATAAATGTAGAATTTTATTCAATGCTTTGCCAGTTTTTAGAGGGAATTACTATTCATTATGTTCTTGATGGTCAGATTGAGAAGCTCTGGTGACAGACAGTTTGAAGACAAAATGACAGCCAGAGAAGACGGAAGAAGATGTCAGTGGGTGTCCTCTCTAACACACACTGAGGGACTGTGTTGCAGGCAAAATATTTGATCTCATGGGAGCCTCACTTGACAAATAAACATATGAGCTAATATAAAAACCTACCTGGTTTAAATAGAACTTCAACACATAACAGATTAACAACCACAAAATAATAAAAAATCACATGTAGCACAATCACATATCTTTGTAAAATTATGACTATGTGTCTATGTATAAAAGTCAATGACGGGCCCTCCCTGGTGGTGCAACAGGTTAAACCACCGCATTATGAATCTACAGCAGCCTCTGCAGCATGAGTTTGATCCCTAGCCAGGGAGCTGACCCACATGGCATAGCAGACGTCTCCTGACCCGCTCACTGCTCCCCCCAGCAGTGTATTTCAGTACATCTTCCTGTTCTACTCCTTGCTCTGTCTCTGGTGAATTCTCTCATCCCCATGCCACACCTCTGATCTGCACCCCAGTTCTGTATGCATAAGTAAATAAATCTTTAAAAAAAAAGTCAATGAGAAGATCTTCAAAAACAAATTTGACTTTGAAACAGTATTTTATGACAAAATGTTTGGAAGGCACTTCCATATCCAAATGTAGTTATAAGTGTAAGAGAAATGGTAAGAGCATGGTCTCAGTTTAGGGAAAAAAAGTGTTTTTTGTGTGTGTATGTGTGTATGTAAAGGAAGTGATGTACATAATATAAGCACAAAGCTACTGAGACATAACAAAGTCACAGATAAGATGAGTGAAGATTTTTGTTTTCTTATACCACCCTTCCATGACTGTGTATTATACTTATCAATAGAAACAAATATCTGAGGGAAAACAGAGGGCCAATTCTTAAGAGGTAATAATTTTACTTAGTGACCAAGAGGGGTTTTATACCCAGAAGGTTGGTTGTACACTAAAGACAACAGAAGCTAACGTTTATAGAAATGTACCATGTGCCAATCACTGCCCAAATATTATTCTGCATGATCCAAGTTTATATCATGATAATTTTACAAGTGAACAAACCAGGGCACAGAAGTGCCAGAGGCAGAGCTTGAAATCCAGCTGGAGCCAAAGCCTGAGCCTTTAACCCTTAAAAGTGGCATAAAGAGAACTAGTTGTTGCTGTACAGTTTTTAGCCAAGTCTTCAATGTCATCAATGAAGCCTGGCATTGAGCTCTAACACCACATCAGTCTCTAAGTTCTTTCCAGACTTAGTGGTAGAATTCGAACTGAGAAAGAAAGGAGGCATTCCTGGTCCTGTGTCAGAGGAAGGACATTTATTTTGATTCTAAGGTCTCCCTGGAAGTCCAACTGAGAGAGGCTTCCTCAGAGGTGGGCACCTGTACGTGTACTCTGACAGCATCCACTCTGGAGGAACAATAACACTACTACAGGTCTCCTATGGAGGTTCTCTGAGTTGCAAGACAGTTAATTGAGAGGACTGTGGGACGGAACTGTCTTGGCAATGTCCCTTCCAGACAAGAATGATGTCACTGTATCAAATATATCTAAGGGAATTATTTTACAACTGGGCATGGTGAAGGAAAACCTCAAAGGACAGTATGGGTTTAATAACTTCCTTCCCCACCGACTCAGAGCTGCAGAGACTTGGGCGGGAGGAGAGTCACTGAGGTTGGAGATGAGAACTGATCAGGACACATACCAACCCTTGCAGGGAGGAAGTCTGGGAATGTGCTCAGACTCCAGTCTCCTCCCACTCCCCTCCTTCTTACACAAATTCCATTGGTTCAACCTCACCAGAAGCTAGAAGAACTGGGGACCCCTAGACAGAGACCTCATAGGGAATATGGATCTACTGTAAGGGATTAGTAGCTAGGGAGCCTAGGTCATAGGAATTAGTATCTCTGAATGAAGAGCTCATGAACGAAAAGCGAGAGAAGATCTGGAGTATCAGATGGGAAATACTTTGTGTTAAGAACCAAGTTTGTGTTCCCCACTCCAAATTCAGGGTGACTCTCTGATTCTCAATGTGACCATATTTGAAGTTGTGGGTCTGCAAGGATGTGATTAAAGTTAAATGAAGCTCTAAGAATAGGGCTAAAACCTAACAGGACTAAATTCTTCGCAAGAAGACAAAGACGGCCCTCCCTGGTGGCGCAGCGGGTTAAAGCACAGCACTAAGAAGCTAAAGCTACTTCCGCATGAGTTCGATCCCCGCTGCCCCGGAGGTGACCATATGGCGTGGCAGACCTCTCCTGACCCGCCTGCTGCTCCCCTCAGCAGTGTACTTCGTTGATCTGCCTGTTCTGCTCCCCACTCTGTCTCTGGTGAAGCCTCTCACTGCCCCTGAGCCTCTGGCCTGTACCCCAGTTCTGTATGCACAAATAAATAAATCTTAAAAAAAAAAAAAGAAGAAGAAGAAGAAGACAAAGAGCCCCTGGGAGTGTAGGCACAGAGGAAAGACCAAGTGAAAAAACAGCAAGACAAACGGATGTATGTGCAAGCTAAGGAGAGAGGCATCACCCAAACCCAATTCTCCTGACATCTCAGCCACATGCAGATTTCAGCCTCCAGAATGGTGCGAAATGCATTTCTATTGTTTAAGCCACCCAGTCTGTGGAATTCTGTTACAGCAGCTGGATTTGACTAAGGCAAGGTGAGGGTAGGAAAAAAGAGTGACCTGTCTCCACGGGGGTCACAGACTATCTAGCCAGTAACCACTGTATCTATGAGGCAATTTCGCATACTAGGCAGGGAGGTATGGTTTACACTAAAAGTCCCAGAAACAGACAGGCTATATTTGAGGACTGAAAATGCTACAGAGACAGCTGCTGAAGATCTTTGGGGTTAATCTGAAACAATTAGCAATTCAAAAATTTATTTATTACAGATGCACAGG